ACCATCTCGGGAATGACGTTGAAGACTAGCTTTGCCAATGTACGTGCCTGTAGTAGATGCCAGTAGATACACGGCTGACGAAACTACGGAGGAAGAAGATGCACATGTAATACGAGCTAGCCGTTCCAAGAGAAACCATGGGCTATCACCTGGAGAACCCGACGCAGGTGCATACATAAAATATTCGGCCCACTCCTGAGGAAGAAGGTGCATAATTTGCCGGACCCAGGTCGGACGATTCGCACATCTCCAAGCACATCTGATACGAACAATGCCTGCTACGACTAAAAGTTCGGCCCACAGTACATGCAAGACTCTACCACGCAGAAGTCCACCACGTTGCGATAGACCCATGTTGAAGGCCCAGCCCATGATAAAGTCAACTGCGGGGACAGGGTCACGCCACCGAAGCAGGCCCCAGCACCATGAGGCCACCGAAGAGGCTAATTCTGAAGCGGGTTGTCGAAGGGCCTTGTGGTTGTCCACTTGCTGATCCAGAAACCGTTGTGCATATACGAGGCTTGGGTGGTTACCACGAGGGACGGGCCACCGTACACGATGGCGATCAGGTCCCTCACCTTGAACGCCGGGGAGAAGAAGTAGACGAAGTAGGAGTAGAGCAAGGTACCAATGAGAAGAACAGCCACACCATGAATCACGTATACCACGCATTTTGGAGAAACCCGTGCTGCCCGAAGACGCCTGACGTCCAGAATACAGCCCGTTCACTGAGAGAGTAAGCAGCAAGAGAAGAAGACATCGCGGGATGATATGCCGCCCATATTTTCCAGTATCGAGCGCGGACGCCGCCAGAGTGACTTCGAGCGCGTCGTGGGCCACTCTGGCCCTCGAGAAAACGCGGCTGCGGAATGGAAGGGGAGGGGGGGCAGAGCCCAGGGCTGCCCGGGGAGGCCGACCGAGCAGTGGTATGAAGTCGGGCGTGTCCCTCTGCAGGAGGAAAAGCCCAAAATAGTCAAAAGATAGTCGGGGCACGATTTTTCTACCACTTCTGCTAATTTTTGGGGCATGTTGGGGGTATTTTGAATTTTTTTCGCCCCAAATCCGCCCGTAGGGGGACAGGCCCGACCTAACAGCAGTACGTTCGGCCGCCAAGGCCGGAGCCACACGCACGTTTTAGCTCAGCGGCGCAGGGGGGCCTCGGGCGCGGTCGGCAAGCAACGGGCGAATCGCGGACGAGCTCTGCCGCGGCGCGCAGCGAAGGGTGCGTCCACCGCTGCAGTGCAGACTGCTGCAGTGCAGATGCAGTGCGTCCACCGGTGCGTCCACCGCAGCGAAGGGTGGTGACAAGACAAAGTGAGGTACTGTAAAACGCGCACACGCACACACGCACGCACACGCGCACACATACATACACACACGCGCACACACGCTTTGCCAGCCGAGATGAGCCCTGCGGCAAGAGAAAAGGAGACTCCCCGAGCGCGCTCCACTATTCGCAAACGTCCGACGAACACATGCTCGCCTCGACGTCATGGATCCTAAATCCCCTGCGGCGGATCTAGACCGGTTGCTAGCAATTACTTTGCGAGTAGTTGAACTCGCTTGTCTAGAGACGACGACGAAGAGACGATACAACGGAGGGCGCTGGGAGAGGAAAGGGGGGGGGAAAGGCGGCGGAGGGAGGAAGAGCGCGCCAGCTCACCCGCCCGCCCGGGCCCGTGCAGCGCTTGGCGGGGGGACGCACGGACACGCACACACACACGCGGACACGCACACGCACACGCACACGCACACGCACACGCACACACACACACACACACACACACACGCACACACACATACACACACGGACACGCACACGCACACGCACACGCACACGCACACGCACACACACACACACACACACACACACACACACACGCACATTGCTGCTCTTCCCCCCTCCTCCCCCCGCGTCCGCTCCCCCCCTGCTGGCGGGGAGGCGTGCCCGCGCGCGTCGCGACGGGAGGGAGGAGAAGGGAAACTCGGGCCAGTCGAAAGGGCAGGATAGGGAAAGGAGGGCGTACGAAACCTGCTGCACGCAGCTGGTTTCCGCCCCGCCGCCAGGTCCAGTCCTCGATACGTGGGCGCCGGAGGCGCCAAGGGGCGCCGGGAAACCCAGATGCGTGAGCGGATTCTCTGCCCTGCCGTTTGCTATCCTACCCTGTCGTTCTCCCCGAGGAAAAGGGGGTTGAGAAGTCAGGAGCGGAACAAGGACGTACACGCGCATGAATCCACATTGGTTTTAAGTCGGGCATGCCCCTCTACAGGGGGAATGTTTGAAACTTGCAAAAAAAAACGTTTGGGGACGATGTTTTGACGAGTTTGAAAACATGTTGGGGAATGTTTTTTATTGGGGTATTGTTTCATTTTTCGTCCAAAATCCGCCTGCAGGGGGACATGCCCGACCTAGCATTGGTCTCGAAAGTACGCGCTGCGCGAGCGTGTGTACCATGCACGGGGCCGGTCTCGCGGACCTGGGGGGGGGGGGGGGGCCAGTCGCGTGCGCGGTTGGGCGCGTGCGTCGGTAGTGGGCTCCCTGGGAGGGGGGGAGGACGGTGTGGGGGGAAAGACGGGGGGGGTGGGAGGAGGCTGCGGGCACGGGGGTGGGGAGGGGTGACGCGAGGATGGGTGGGTGGGGGGAGGGGAAGGGAGAGGAGGAGGAGGAGGAGGAGGGGGAGGAAGATGCTACAGCACTCCTGCTCACGTCCAGGCAGCGTCAAAAAGGCGGAGGAGGAAGATGCGGCGTAGGAGGAGGAGGAGGAGGAGGAAGAAGAAGATGTGGAGGAGGAGGAGGAGGAGGAGGAGGACCAGTGTGTAAACCCAAGAATCATCAACGATGTTGGAATTACCTCTCTCCCTCCCATCTCCCTCTTCATAGGCACTTGCAACGGTTCATATCCATTGAGGGAACTGTTTCGTTGGAAGACAGCCGTTTGAAGATCCTGAAGCATGCCAAAACATTGTTCTCGGGATTTCAACGCCGCGTATCAGTCTGACTGCTGCGTCTTGACGATCCGGAATCGTGCCAGAATGCCATTTGGGGTGATTTCCACACCGCGAATCACCGTAGTTGTTATGCCCGCATAGTCCTGAATCGCAGCAAAACACAATTTCTGGTCCGTTGATCATGGGAATCCGTGAAATTTTTGCAAATTTGGAAAACGAAAGTGCGCGGCGCTTAACTTCAGCGAGAGCCACATGTAAAAAAACGGCACGCCCTCAATCCGTGAAGATCTTGCCTTTTGAAAACAAGTGTGCGCGGCGCTTAGGCGAGAGCCACATTTTGAAAAGGACCCACCCTCAATCAGTGAATTTCTCGAAACGTTTGAAAAAATGTGCGCGGCGCTGAGGCGAGAGCCACATGTAAAAAACGGCCCGCCCTCAATCCGTGAAGCTCTTGCAATGTTTGAAAACAAATTCTTTACGCTTCGCGTATCCCCACCAGCCCATCTCACAGCAGCAACTCTGGCGAAGCATGCCGACAGTCGTGTTTTTCAGGCGTGTGTCCGATTGGCCCCGCATATCTCCCCTGTTCCTCCTTCCTCCCGCCTCCTTGTACATCCTCCTTGTGGGGGGAGCGGGAGAAGGACGAGGCGGAGGAGAAGGGAGAGAAAGCGCTCCTCGTGATTTGAGTCGTTTGGGGTTTCTCGTCCTGGTGTCAGTTGTTCGGGCCCTTCTTCCTGGTGTGAGTCGTTCGGGCTCTTCGTGGTGTGAGTCGTTCGGGCTCTTCGTCCTGGTGTGAGTCGTTCGGGCTTCTCGTGGTGTGCGTTGTTCGGGCCCCTCATCCTGGTGTGAGTCGTTCGGGCCCCTCCTCCTGGTGTGACTCGTTCGGGCTCCTCGTGGTGTGAGTCGTTCGGGGCCCGCGTCGTGGTGTGAGTCGTTCGGGCTCCTCGTGGTGTGAGTCGTTCGGGCGCCTCGTCCTGGTGTGAGTCGTTCGGGCCCCTCCTTGTGGTGTGAGTCGTTCGGGCTCTTCGTGGTGTGAGTCGTTCGGGCCCCTCGGCCTGGTGTGAGTCGTTCGGGCTCCTCGTGGGGCCTCTTGGGAGCCTCTTGGAGCCTCTTGGGAGCCTCTTGGGGCCTCTTGGGGGCCTCTGGGGGGCCTCTTGGGAGCCTCTTGGGGCCTCTTGAGGCCTCTTGGGGGCCTCTTGGGGGCCTCTTGGGGGCCTCCTGGGACCGCTTGGGCGCCTCTGGGGGGCCTCTTGGAGGCCTCTTGGGAGCCTCCTGGGGCCTTTGGGGGGCCATCTTGGCCCCTCTGGGGGCCTCCTCAGAAGCGCAAGCGAGAGCTGCTCCCTGAAAAGGAAAAATGGTGTCAAAACCTTCGTAGAAGCAATGATTTTGCTATGACGGAAGATGAGCGCGGCCCCCCCAGGACGCCAAAATGGGGCCAAAACCGTAGTAAAATCAATGATTTTGGCTTTAAAGAAGAGCAGAGGGGCCAAACTGGGTCCCCCCGTCGGGGCCAGAATCCTCGTGAGGGTCGTCGTTTTTTAGCCCTCCCAGGAGTCGAAAAAGACCCCTCCAACGACCCGCGAAACCCCCTCTCCAGGTCCAGGGGGAGGGGGTAGGGGGAGGGGTAAACCCCTCCCCGAAGGGGAAGAAGGGGGGTTGAGAACAGAGAGAGCTCCCTAAACCACTCACGCCCAAAGGGCTGGTGGGATTTGCGCGGCGCTAAGGCGAGAGCCACATGTAAAAACGACCCGCCCTCAATCCGCGAAACGCTCTGCAACTATTGAGAACGAATGTGCGCGGCGCTAAGGCGAGAGCCACATGTTTTAAAGCCACCCGCCCTCCATCTGTGAAGCTGTTGTCACTTTTTTAGCTTCAGAGTCATAAGTGGTGAGGAAGTCTCAGGCGAAACGCCCGGCCCGCCAAAAAATTGCCTCGGGGTGTGACAGGGAGAAATCATTTAGAAGGAGAAAGAACGGAGGAGGAGTAGGAGGAGGAGGAGGAGGAAGAAGAGGAGGGAGACGGCGCGAGCAGGCGCAGGAGGCGGAGGCTGA